TACGCGAACGATGTTCGGCTCGTATTGGTCAATCACAATCCGGAATTTCACATTCCAATCTATCTATCCACTCTCGCTCTTTGCTTGATTCTCTTGATTCTCCCCAACCGTCTGAATGGGACACCGAAAAATGAAGTGGACGAGTGAAAATGTTTTTGTTCATTCGCCTCACCCTGTTCTGAGAATGTCTGCAATTGATCTAATTGCTGAATGGACCCTAATTAGGCGACGACAGAGTGATGCCTGATTGTGCAATATATCCTTGTGTTTATCTCACACATGGTTCGATAATGTTTTCAGCATTTCTAAAAGAATTGCTACCATCTTATGCGCTGTTTTCCTTATTCACTATTGACCTCGATCAGAATGATAATTCGCACGCTTTTCTTTTTGCCAATCCGGTTTGCGTACTGCTGCGTGCTGTTTCAGTCTGGTCTAGTGTGCTTGCTGACCATATCTCCCTTTTTCTGCTCACCAATTATTCTCTCATTGCTGTCTGTTCCCCATGCAGGATGTGGCCGATCAACCGTTCAATTTGGCTGTCACACATGCCGGGGTATTGGTATTTCAACGCTTTTCCCGTGTGAACACCTACATCTGGTCCAAGATTCGCAAATTAAGTTTCAATCGGCACAAGTTTCTCATCAAATTGCACACGGGCGATCAGGTATGTGTATGGCTGGGAGTGGGTTCGTGCCCAACCGTTTTGATGCGCTATGAAAGTGGGAACAATAATGAACAATAAATTTCTTTTCGAAATGAAAACAAAAGAGGAGTACGATATTTTTCGGAATTCTGTAAATCGCACTTGTTGACGAGACCCTGGATTCGATTTCAGTACTAAACTAGCTCCTTTGTGTTATGTATCGTGTGAACGTGCGCGCGTCTGTGTGTAGATTAGTCCCATGTCCCAGACAACAACGTATCCCACCATGCCGACTGAGCATTGTAATCAACTGGACCAAACATATGATACTACAAGAATGTCGTGTGTGCGAGAGAGAGAACGGTGGGGTAAACAGCAACATATTTGGCCTTGGTTTGGTAGTACAACACATAGATCATAAATAATTGAGCAAAGCTGGAGGTTGGAAACTGAATTTCATCATGTAAAGAGCAAATGAAACATGAGCTGAAAAGCTATGAAGCACTGAACAGACCTGGTTTTACCTCCTCACCGTTGCTACTTACTTTCCTTTCCTTTATGGTGGCTGGCTCCTGAGAGAGAGAAAGCTAGCTTCATGGATATCCCACTGCCCACGCTTGGTGATCTACGGCAAGATCAGCACATATTGTGATCCAGCTTGATTTCCATTGGCGAACGCCGTAGACGGAACATAGACCAAGGTTTTCAGTATACTTTATACCGTGTTTTCAACTGCTCACCGTGTCGACAGTGCCAGTTCGGGCAGGGAGGCGGTGCCAAGATAACTTTGGTCACACCGTTATCAGAATGTGACCAAACCACTGTAGTCGCTGCTGTTGTATTAGCGTCCGCATCCATGTGAGATTAAAACACCGATTTCTGATCGCTTCACTTGAGAGCACCTTGACGCGGTGTGATGGCTTGCGTGCCTCCATGACCGGATAGCTACACAGGATGGCTTTTCACAGCCGTAGATCCAATCATGCCTGAAAGGTCAACGGGTAGAGGCCAGACGAAGACCGGTCTCACAAGACCAGCTGCTTGGGCACCCCCTAGCTTCTTTCTTCTATCCACACCAGCCCCTGGAGAGGTCACTCCAGTAAATAAACACGGTGAGGGGCAGTTTACCGGTCAAAAAAACCCCGTCAGATGGACGTAGGAGTGGGGTACCTGAGGCGTCCTCTTGACGGTGGGAGAAGTCTTCGCACTTCATCGAACAGCTACCGCTTGCCCAAGCTGGGCAGCCCCCAGCCAATAAGGTGTCGTCC